AAATCCCTGAAAAACAGATTTTGTTAATCAAATAAATCATGAGAGTCAAAGAAAAGGAGTCAATACATAAGTAACATTCAAAACAGATTTCGTTCCTTAACTAAATCAAATTGAGTCAATAGAAATCCCTGAAAAACAGATTTTGTTAATCAAATAAATCATGAGAGTCAAAGAAAAGGAGTCAATACATAAGTAACATTCAAAACAGATTTCGTTGACTCATGACAGTCAATTAATTAATTTTATTCCTTTGGTAACTTTAGGTATTAGCTTTGTATATTACTGAATTGCTTACACAGGTCATCTTTTAACTTTGCGTGTCTAATTAGTTTGCCCCAATATAAGAGTATCTAACAACGACAGTTAAATCTTTATTAATCAAAATTCATACATGATTCAATGAAATATTTGCATGTGTAAATATAAATTTTCTTAAGATCTTCATAATAACAAATACATTACACCGCAATCAACAGGGAATGATAGGGCTCTTTCACCAAAATAAGTATCACGTAGCCAGTATTACTACTTCAGTCTCATCCACAGCCATTTGGTTGGGGAGTTCGGCTCGCAATCTGCGGATCGCGGGTTCGAATCCCCCGGTCCACCAAACATGCTCGCCATTTCAGCCGTGGAGGCGTTATAATATGACGGTCAATTCCACTATTCGTTGGTAAAAGAGTTGGCGGAGGGTGGTGATGACTAGCTGCTTTCCCTCTAGTCTTATATTGCAAAATTAGGGACGGCTAGCGCAGATAACTCTCGTGTAGCTTTACGCGAAAATTCAAAACAAATTAGTTTTATCCACTAGACATGCCCGCCCAGTGGCACAGCGGTAAGTCTGTAGGCTTATAACAATAAAAATTGGGTTTCGATACCCATGGTGGGCAGAGTACAGATAGCCCACAGTGTATCTTTGTGCTCAACAACAAAAAAAACAAACCATTAGATATTTCGGAATCGTGACCAAAGTTAATAATAGATACAAACGATAAATATTCAATTATCAGGTGATTACTGTTGACAGTGATTTCAAAGCAAAAATTATATACATATATATATACTTTTCAATGAAATCCGGATATTATATGTGGTTTACTGAGATGCAAAATTTCTAACTATAAAAGTTTTCATGGATTATATTTTTCTGCTATTGGGAAAACCTAAATTACTTTATTTCTGTGTCTTACACAGATAGAGCAGTTGGGAGTGTTTAGAAAATGATAATAATTGTGTGGCTTGATGTGAATGAAACAAGTCACCACCAGTACTCGAATCGAGGAGTAACTGAGAGGCATGCCATTATCATTGTTAAAATAAATATCAATTTCGTACCTCTTGTTTACAACTTGTGTGCATGGAGAAAACTTTCGAGAATGAAACTTCTCTAACTGGTTTTTAGCATGTGTGTACAATTACAGTTTTAATGCTAAATATTATCTTCGTCAACTATTTGTAAGGTTGGTTTTAAGTTTCCTGTTAATGTCTGTTGTGCCAAGTTATTGCTAAATCTTGATTTTGATCTAAGTAATGACTTATCAAAGAGGTAATTAATTTCACGGTATACTTATATATAGGGGAGTATCAGCTACTATAGTGTAGTGTACACTTCTTTTATTATTTTTATTTCCCCAATTGTTAAGTAGTTGCAAGTCAAGCATTGGTAACTAGTACCAGAAATTCCATGGAAATCACACCACTTCCATGGCAATTTTATAATTATTAAGTTCTCTGAAAATTCTATATATTTATGAAAATAAAACATTGTTTGTTAAGTAAAAACAACTATATATACGAAATGTGTTAAAAACATTCTCAGGTTATGTATCATTGACTTAATAGTTATATGTAACTACATAACAGTTACATGAAACTACATAAACAAAACTAAAAGACTTTTAAAAAGTTAAGAAAGTCAACCTTTAACCGGTATTTATAAATTTTGAAAGTTTACTAATACTATGCTACTGGAACAACAAAGTTATAGTTTTGATTACTTTGTTCTAGACTATTTGTAATAATGCCTTTTAAATATTAGAATACTGGCCACACTGTGAAGTTTGTGTATTAGTTACAAGTTGCGTGCTAGAACTCACAGTACCAAGCTTTTATAGGATAATGTATTAAATAGATAAGTTTAAGGCACTGGGCTGCAATAAAGTTCTTGAAAAAATTCCAACTTTATTTAAACTATTAACTACTTTAATCTTTAGATCCTTTACTTATTTTATCTCTATGTTGAGACACTTCGCAAAAGTTGGAATTCATACCAGAACTTCTTGTTTTTATTATATTATACGCTTTGTTGAAGTGAGTAGACATTTATTGTTCATGATGTATATATATATATATATATATATATATATATATATTATTTGTTGTTGTTGTTGACACTATTGTTTATTCAGATGACGAAACCTAGTGATATTAACCTTT